TTTTGTATTTCCATAATCCAAAATGGAGTTATATTTGATAAGAATAACGAACAACAGAATGACGATGATTGTTTAATATTGATGTTTAATATTGATTAAAATACATTTAATTACTAATTGTCATAATATGTTCCGATAATCAAATATAAAATTATTCATTGTCATATACATATATATACATACTAATCTTGTACAAATTTCCTTTTTATTATAACCATATTTTTTAGTATGCGATATTAATTGACGTTCCTGTGAATATTTATAAAAAGAAATATTGAGCTATTCATATGAAAAAAAAAAAACGAACTGGAAGTTATAATAATTTACATATATTTATACCTTTTGAAATGTAACTTTTTTACTGGAATTATTATTTCATATATACAATATTGTTTCATACATAATTTTCTTTATTGAATAGGATAACGTAATGAATTTGCTTATCAATGAACATTCTTTTTTTGAAGTTATTGTAAACATCTCTAGAAACTTTTAAACTAATAGAATAGAACTTATTTACCTCATGCATTAAATTATACAAATTATGCATCTTTCGAAACCATTCAACGTTTGTTTGAAATATGTTTTAATATCATTAAAAATTTGCAATGATTGATTGAAAAGACATCCCATATATTGACGAATCAATTCTATGATAAATTGGATAATGGAATTACAAAATTATTAGTTTCCGATTGCAAGATGATATTAAAGCAAATTATTACCAGCTGTACATACAGAAGTAATATTTGCGTACTACACAACAGAAACAAACGTAGTAGACACATGAATGATTTCCGGTTCATATGCATGTACAATAACCAAGTATGCTATGCCTAATGTTTCCCTTTGTGTTTATGCTGGAACGAAGTATTGTTTGAACGATCCAGTGCAACAGGTTATATAACGTGCGTGATTCAAAGTATACCAAGAACTTCCGGAAATAATTACGGCATTGCGCATTCGAATGAAATCAGATTTCTTTATAGAATACTTAAGGCTGGAATCTAATACAAGCATAGGATATTTTAATGGTGCGAGAATAATATTTAAGAGTTCTATATCTCTGATACGAGATACAATTCTTTACGTAATTAGCAAAATCGAAAATTAGTAATTTTAAGTTTGAAATATTTCAAATGAACAAATTAATTTTTTATGTATTCTACTTTCTCATCTGTTATACTTTAATCAAATTTTTCTTTTAAGTTTACGAACCTAATTTACATTGCTTGTAAGTTCACAAATCTTTATTGCATAATAAAAATCTTCTAAACTTTTATTATAAAAATTTTGCAATATTCTTATTGCAAGAATGTGAAAGATATTATTATTATATGAAAGTCTTACAAATCATACACTTTCTGTCTTTTTTTTTTTAATAATTTTCGTTTCTCGTAAATGTCGTTGTGAAACGTTATGATCAATAAATACGTTCATTTCGCGTTTGCAGAGTTATGTATATTTTATTAATCCTTCTTTTATCATATCTACATGTAAGAATGTTATTAATCCTATAATTCCAGTCACGTTAATACGATTAACATCAATATTCATGATTGTACGTCAACGAGTGATTTTTCTTTGACCTTGGCAATGTATAATTATTGCAATTATAGTATAGGCGTGCCATGACTCAGTGCACGGTACGTACATCGTAGCGATCAACTTGAAGATGATTATGCTAATGTTTAATTCCACGCAATATTCGTATACGTCATCTCGTGTGAGAACGTCATTCTTAATTGAGTGATACATAGCTATGACTGAGCAGGATGTCTTGAAATATGATCACATTCATACAAATATATGTGCATAAAATAATTTTTTTTTATGTTCATACAATAATCATGTTTTTTGCTGTGAATACGTATGAATTTTCAGTATGAAAAAGATTTCCACTGACTGTTTGGTTGTTACAAGAAATTCAATTACATTACACAATTATGTAAAGTATATTTAGTTGAGAAAATAATATTCATTTATACATATAAATCAATAGTTATTAGTTAGCTATATTGTAATAAAAGTTATGAAATTTTAAATTTCAGTTATACTATATTAAGTTATTAATTGGAATAATTATTACGTTGTTGTGAATTTGTTTCGAAAGAAAATTAATTACTTTGATTAAACACACTTGTTAATTATTCTCATTTATAAATAAACGGAGGTGATTTTATATAAATATTACGAAATATATCTATGTAGAATAAGGAAAAATTATCTACGTAAAACATGGAAAAATCTAAAGTAAGTTAAATATATCAATAATTAATTACAAAATAAAATAATAAAAATAATTTCTATAATCCATCGAATATGTCAATGTGAAAAGTAAAAAATATGAAGTACTTTATCAATATAATTCTAATATTAAATATAAAGTAATTAAATATTTAATAACATAAAATAAATAACATAAAAATGTATCTTCTAAATTAAAAATTTAAATTATTCTTAAAATTGAAAAATTTTAGTTATTTCTGAAAATTGAAAATATAATTGGAAATTATATTATTACATTTGAGTTAATATAAAATTATATGACCATAGCAAAAAATATATTATTTTTAAAACAATATTAGTAAGAATAAATAAGAATATATCATTTTTCAAATCATTTACCTCTTTTCACGATTTTCCGGCATATATGTTTTGACGTTTCGTAAGATCCAGTTTCGCAAATTTTCGTGTGGAACATTGTTTGATGCTCCGTGATGTTTAGTGGATCACCACACAGTGCGTTCATGTTGGAAGCGCAATCCCAACATCGTAAAGCTAAACCTATTACAAATATATATA